ACTGTGCACGCAGCGATCGTAAAATGCATGTGACTTGACTGGCGGATTTGGGTCGCCTACTATACTAATTTGCAACAGCATAACGAAACACCACGGACGCCATGGATTACTAAATTATCGTATGCTGGATTCTACATTTGCTTCGGGATTTCAATGTAATAGGTGTTTTTACTGTGAATTGTGCACTAATATTCGTTTTTTGGTGTATTTTGAATCTGTGAAAATTTGGCGGATATGCTTTGGCTACTTTTGGAGATTTCATTGACTGACGCAACTGCCGTCTGTGTTCGCCACCTTGGTTTTGTTCTGCCTTGTGAAGTCGCCTCAAGCTACTTGTGGTTCGTGTTAGAAAGTTGTTGGACATAAGGCTCATGTATTTCGGTGCTTCGGCTGCGAGGTTTTGTTCCATATTTCGTGCACTGGCTTATCCGTTGGTGTCGGCCCATTGCCTAAAGGTAACGAGCTTGTCTCGTAATCTTTCGGCGCGGGTTCGAATCTGCACAGGGGTGAGCGTCCTCGCGGTATACTCAGCTCGCGTGCGACTGATGGTGTTCGCACGGCAGCAAAGCGCCGTTGAGGCGTACAGCTGACACATTATTAGTAGTAGTACTTATCCGTTGGCGTCTTTCGAAAATCTATCGACATCGGTTTTTCCAGGTTATATGTGATAGGTGTCGCCGTTCAAGACATCAAAATACACAGGAACCGCCACCGACTACAGGAAAACGCCTCTCACAGACGGAAACACACGGTTCACCTCATGGGGTCAAACGTCCTCGTGAAAGTAACTCCGTCAAGTCGTCTTCCCTGCCACTCCGCGATCTACACTGCTACCAGCGTCCTTGGAGCCCGGCCAAGTCTCGGGTTCAACGATCCCTACGGACTGAAGACTCAGATACGGAACCTCAGAAATTCCGCTTCCCTGATTGGTCCGTGAATTTCTCAGAGCTTGTCTGTGAACCTCTGAACACCGATGATCCATTGACCACACAAAAACGCAAGGAGTCACGTAATCGACTTTATGCGTCCCTGCTGATAAAGAACAACTCAATCCGACAAGCGCCTCTAGTCCTGCTCCCACAGATTCATCACCGATTTCGCTGAAGTGTCATAATCTCATGGTCTTCCACGCACTAGAGTCAAAAGATGAAAACCTTCATATACGTTATGAACACGATGTTGAGCCCCCAGGCACTCATCGATAGACTCTTAAATGTGGGTGAAGGCAGTGTGCCGACTAAACAAGTAGTACTAATTGGCCAGCAAACTAACCAATCATGTCGACCACTGAGAATCACTTTTGCAAATCCCAATATGCCGCAGCTCATACTGTCTCGTCTGTGAAGGCTGAAAGGTTCACATCCGGTGAGACTTTGAATCCGAAGACAAGAGTCGTTTGAAGATTGCGGTGCTTGAGCGCAAACGCCGTATAGAAGGTGAGACTAAAGTACGCAGTGCAAATTTTCGGGTGATCAAGAAGGGTGTACGAACCCGTTTCAACTGGTTGCTCTATCTTCAGGCACGTCACGTCAGCAGTCGCCAACGTGTGCAGCTTAATGAACAAACATGACGAACTATGCCGCTTCACTGTCTCGGAACGGCCGGACGTCTTAGGATTTGCAGAGACTACGTTGAACTCTGACATCATACCCCAGGAAGTCGCCTTGTCAAGATACTCTTGTTTCCGATGCGACCGAAAACCAAAGGCTCACGGTGATGTTCCGTTGTACATCAGATCATCAGTAGCTGGTAAACTTATCAGCACTTATCGGAGCGAGGATAACGTATGCGAGTAAGTGTTGTGCTCGATCCAGTTCAGACGAGCAGAACTATTAATGGGCGTTATCTACCGTAGCGCACTAAACCGTTGTTGTGATTGGCTACCACATGTGCGGAAGCACATGATCCGCGCTCAATTTCCACTGATGGGAGACCTAAATTTGCCTAATATATGCTGGCCAGAAGTTCGGCTTCTTCCCGATCATGGTGACGTTGAGGCTCAATTCGCTAAAAGGACTATGGTAATCGGGGCAACGCAACATGTCGTCCAAAGGATGCGCATAGCTCCGCACTCGGCATCTTCTTTGAACCTAATGTTTACGAGCAGCGACCAGACGCTGAAAGAGGTCAGAGTCCTCGAACATCTAGCGAACAGCGACCGCTGCTCCATTGTGGCAAGAATAGAACTGTCGTTACCGTATTACAACCAACGGAAACCGACATACAACTATTAGAAAACGGAGTCTAACGCGCTCGTCCAAACCGCAAGTTACACTGATTGGATATTACCACCGGTTGGTCATTAATGAAGGTGAAGCGCAACTCGCTGTGTACTCGGTTCGTTCCCCTGAAGTATTCAAAAGTCGTGCCTGTCAAACCGCGTTGGGTTGATGCGGAATATAGACAGTTAGCGCGATGGCGTCGCAAACTTTGGGATAGATACATCATCTCGGGTTGTGACGAAGATTACACGGTGTACAAGAAACACCGTAACATATGTAATGCCGCAAAGATAGAAATGATGGCAGTTCGAGGAGGAGCTAGCATCCTCGGCCACAACCGTCCCCAAAAGAATACTTACCTATTTGTAATGTCAACTGGAACCTGCGGGTGACCTGCCAAAATTAGAGAGCTTGGACGGACAGTCGCACGTTTTAAGCGCGAAGCACGCGGACGCCTTGGATTCGCACTTCCTCGACGCATTTTCCAGTAAACCAGTGGCTGTTCTAGTACCCGCACAGGTTGCAGCTGCCTTGCTCGACAGCCTACAAGATGATGCAGACGAAGTTTATCAACTACCCGTCAACCTCGATGGTACAACGCCCGCGGAAACAGACGAACTTCACCCGCTAATACTTGAGTCCCTATCGAATGTCATCTCACCAGCCGTGACAAACCTATTTAATAAGTCCCCCAGTGAACGATGTCTCTAAGGACTGGAAATGCTCGCTAGTGAGACCGCTTCTCAAGGGTGGTGATCCGAGTAAAGTAGAAAACTATAGACCGATCTGTTTCACTTCGATATCATAAAAAGTTCTCGAGAAGGTTGTGAAAAGTGTCTACTGTCGTTCCTCGAATCGACGGACGCCAGCATAACGGATTCACGAGAGGGCGATCCTGCATCACCAACTTAATGTACGCAAACCACCAGTGGGTACGAGCTCTCAACGAACAGGATGTTGACGTGGCGTACACGGACTTTAGTAAACCGTTTGACAGAGTGAACTATGTTGTACTCCTCCGTAAACTGAAGACATACGGAGTCAGTGGCACAGTACTTCAGTGGTTATGCGTGTTTATTGTGAGACGGAAGTGGAGAGTGCAAATCATTGACTACCTGACAGACTGGTTTTCATCGACCAGTGGCGTGCCTCAGGAAAGTGTACTTGGGCCGGTGTTATTTCATATTCATATCAATGACCTTCCGCAGCAGCTCCAGTCACCATGTGTACTGTTTGCAGGTGATTTGAAAAGCTGGAAGACCATTGAGAAGCAGGACGACTGCGCGCGCCTCCAGCATGAGTTAGATCGACTGCCAACATGGTTCACTGAAATGCAACTCCCTCTTAACGCAAGCAAGTCGGAGTTCATCAGTATCACCAGACGTGCGGCCACTCGATCACGCACCTTGGACGGTCAGTTGCTCCATCCCAACACATCTGCCAGAGACTTAAGAGTGCTCCCGAGACATGATATGAGATCAGTAGAAAATACGGAGAAATTGTACCGTGCGGGACTTTGCATGCTCTGGGCATTACGACGCAGTTTCTACACATGGTCCGAAGAAAGCGACCCTCGTCTAATCACCTCGCTTACCAGACCAATCCTTGAATATGGTGCCCCAGATTACCAGTGGAAACCAGTGGAAAAAAGAAAAGCCGGAGAAAATACAGCACCTAGCAACTAAACTGATATCTAATCAACGAAGGCTTCTGTTGGAAAAACGTTATGAAAGGCTCGGACTCTACACACTATCCTATCGCCGAGTACGAATCGACCTTAATATGATCCATCTAATACTACACCTGAATCACTTCCCCATACTGCGGCCAATATTTCGCTTGCAGGAACCCTGTAACACTCGTGGACACAGTTAAAAATTCAGGGTCCCATGCATGTATCGCATCAACTTTGTATAGAAAGAATAATCACAAGCTTATGGAATACACTACCGGAAGGAGCAATAGAGGCCGATTCTTTGAAATGTTACAAAACACGTATGGACGATTGTATCAGAAACCTATGCCTTTGTGAAACGGTGCGCGTACAATGAAAAAATTACATCCTACACCCAGAAGTAATGACCCGAATATGAACTCTCAACCGAACAAGAACAAACGATTAACTGACCAAACACTACCGCTGACAATCCGCGATTAAATGTTTTTGATATTTTATAATTTGATACAGTTATACAGAAAGTTTTCTACTTGCTCTTAAATAGTCTCAATCCGAACCTGATAGTGCTGACGATGATGTACAGCCTACGTTGTAATAAAATCACCGGTCCTATTCGCTGTTCCAGACACGCTGGATGCATCGTAGCACATGGAGAACTAGACTAAGCACACCTCTACTACCTTGTGCAAATGGTGAAGATAATCGATTTGCGCACATCACGATTGTGATGCAAGTCGAGTGTATTGAGCCGATGCAGAAGACAAACAGTGACAGGTGGATATCCAGATTCAATGCTTGGCAGCATCGTGAGCTGAAGGTAGTTCAAGAACTGGAACCCACGCAGAAGAATGTAGCTGAACAGCTGATTGATGCAAAAGTTTAGGCCATAAGCAGGAAAAGGTGAATGGGGTTTGACCGGACCAGATTGGGCTTTACACATAGTGTTCGCGAGATATAGCACATAAAGGTGCTTAGGATGGAGGAGATACCAAGACGCGTTGGGAGCAGTAAATGTGGGGCGCTTCTTGCCCAGCTCATGCAGGAACGCCTAATGTGCATGGTTAAGAAAGACGATCGCCTGGTGTGGACAGGACACTTACCTGGGATTTGGTCGTAAGCTGTGGATGTGAAGCGGTGGATTTTGATGACTTTCCGACAAACCTAGATGCCCCATAAGAGTTGCCCGGTCGGTCTGCGTTTTCAGCAACAGATGATGGAGTTGGCACCCGCTTCGACCGAGCTGAATAAACAAAAGGAGAACATCATCATCAGGAATATTAATAGGGTCTAATCAAGGGATGCGCACACACACACACAGAACAGGTGGTAAAAGTGAAAACGAAGATTGCTATGGCGTCGAATGCGAGGGAATGGGTAGAGTAAATTCAAGCATACAGCTGCCATCACAGACAAAAGCCATAAAAATCGGCAGCTGCCAGGGGTCAGACGGGCGTCTGCAGAAAGAGGTGCTTCGCAGCACGAAAACACATACAATAAAATGGCGCAGAATAGGCAGGTTAAGTGAAAGATGGCAGCCGAAAAACCAATCGAAGAAAACGCTCCAGACAGTGTGTACCGGGATTGTTGTAGCTGACCTGACCTCAGTGGAGTGATGGTCGGATTAAGTGAATGAACTCGGTGCGTCACATCGACCTGTGCGCACAGACAACCAAACGCACGTCCGAATCGACGCGGACTTTGGTATCACAAGATATGGTGTAGAGTCATCACTTGGCCACTCAAGTGTGAAGTCGGAGCAGATAGCAGTCGGTGACGATGCCGAGCAAAACACCCTGATATTTATGAAGTAAATGATAGCAAAATGACACATACAACCAGTCATTAACCGTAGGGAAACTGGTTGCTGCCCGCCCAGAAATACTGCACTCCTCTACGCGTCTCGACCTTGAATGATCTCATCAGGTAAAGATAGCAGACCTCGAAACCCGGGACCACTGGGAGGTTAGTTGGGACCTCTACCCCTTTGGCTTCCGGGTCACGACGGGCAACGCTTGGCACAACGGTTAATGACTAATTGGAGGGTCATTTTGAAGTACATGTCATGTGACTGGATTGCGACGCATAATCTCAATGTGAACGGCGATTCCCACTGAAGTGAAACTTCGCCAATTCGATCAGTAGGACCGTAACTAAAAGGGAGGGAAATTGGGTGCTGTTCGCCCGATAGACTTTATCGTTGTACCAAGCGTTTCCCGTTGTGACCCGATGGATAAAGGGGTAGAGGTCCCAGCTAACATCTTAATGGTTCCCGGTTCTAGGCCCGCTATCTTTACTTGGCAAGATCGAACAAGGTCGAAACAGGCAGTGGATTGCCGTGTCTCATACAACCATCTCGCTTTAAGAGCTTTAAAAGTGCAAGAGAGAAAAGCATTTAAGTTGGCGGGATTGTATTGTTTTCGGACGGGCAGTACACAATTCCCATCTACTTCGGATACGAACTCATTGACTAATTTGGTCGAAAGTTCAGTTCAATGCGAATCACAATCCACATTGAGGATGTGGGCCGAAGTCCATTCACACCTGAGTGTATCATAATGACCCCTACAATCAGTCATTAATGGTTGTGATGGGTACGACCTGCTGTGACTAGTTGGAGTAAAGGCTTCGGATGATATCCCCCAAAGTCGTGGTTTCAAGCCGCAACCCGACCATCTCTACCTGATTAAGTCAAATAAATGTGAAACCGAGTCGTGGAGTGGAGTGCCGCGAGTTGGCAAGACCCAGTATGCTGTGATGCAAAAGCCCGACATACACTTAAAAGTAAATCGCGTTTCTCCCCCCCCCCCCACACACACACAGTTGGAACTATAACCGATCGGTGTTCGGGTGGTATTTCTGACTAAACAGAAACGATACTCTGCGTAAGGCAGGAGAACGGGAGACTGATGAAAAAAATAGATTCTGTCCAGTTTTAAACAAAGACGATCGGTCGAGTTTAGACGTGGTGATTCACGGAAAGACTAGAAGCAGTATTCAACTCTGTTTCTGTTGCAATTGAACTATCTGAATGAAAAAGATGAACTAGAAGAAAGCTGTGTGTGTGTGCGATGATTCCTCGTTTACAGACAGCAAATCCCGAATCTCCACACCTGTTTTGTATGATTCATCATAGAATCCGCACTGACAGAGAAGGTAAAAAGGAGACACAAATTGATTGTGACGAGTAGTGAACCTTGGAATTGTCTTGATGTACTAATGTGCGAATGGATTGTGATTCAAAATCGCAATTAGGACCGTGTTTCAATCTCAGGCGAAATGTGTCGGCCGATGACTCGCGCTCAAACAACAATAATGTGATTGAAAAAGAAATTTCGTTTCCTTCAACCTCAGACTCAGTGTAATAGTGCCAACTATCGCAGCTTGAAGCGCCAAGCAATGGGAGAACGACGTTGCGATGTGAACAGAGCAGCTGTATGGAGCCGAAACACGCCCAGTGTGTGTACTAGGAACCGGGGAAATGGGAATCTATGCTAACCCATGTCCATTTAGCACTGCCTATACCTAGTAAGGGCGTTAAACCAACAGTGATGAGAACAGGCCGTTGGCTACAAGCCAGCCAATGCAGCAGCAGAGAGTGTGTTGCCCTTGAAGTATCTGCGTCTGTCACGTTCATTACATGCTTGTAGACAGTAAAGTTCCGGACGTGGGTGTCTAGGGGGAAACTCGTGATTGAATGAAGCGGCAAAGAGGAATAAAGAAATTTGCATCAACAGCACACCAGCACATCGTACTGACGCTTCGCTACCACGCGACCACCACCAGGTGCGCGTATCCTGTGTATACCAGCAGGTCGCACGCACCTATACGGATTCGAACTGGTGACCTTCGGATTCCAAGGCAAGTGCGTAGTCTTTTCGGTCACACGCAGACAATGAATGTATAAACTGACAGAGTGATAGCCGTTTTCCCGGAAGCAGTCAAACCAGCAGTGGCTGACCTTATTCGAGATGGCTCAATCGCGAAGCCGCCGAAGCTGCTGCATCTTACTGTGAGCAATTCGATTCGAAAACCAGCAACTGCCTTTCAAAAGAATTTGAATCAAAATTCCGCTGTTTTCCCATGTCTGTCACCTTTCATTAGCATCGTACTGAAAAGATCGAACTCCGGTGCTGAGATCATAGTGGAACAGGTGAAATGGTTCTCAGCATAATGAGCAAGGAGATGGTTGCTGGCACATCCGGTTCCCGATTTACCCTATCACTGCAGTCTCCAAAGGACAGTCACAGGAGGCCTGTGCAGACAGATGGACCATGGGTGGCTTGCACTAGCCACAGCTCCATTCACATACCTCATCTCCAGCGTAAACCCAGAGGAATAAGACTGGAAGGCATGTGGATGGGAGCCACGTTTCATCAACGGAGACGGCCCACATTCCTTCAACATGCACAGCAGCAGCATTCCTGTCTATCTACGTAGGAAATCATACGTACCAGACGTACACAAGGTGGTGGCTGGGCCGTAGTCCGTTGCAAACTGGATGGAACCACTCTTTGAGACTACCAAGGCCTCGAAGACCGTGTACACCGTCCCCTACAGCAACAATTCACAATCTCCTAGAGCCAGTAATCGAGGTGGAGGGTGATATACAGGTAGGTTTCTTGTCAACATTCACAACAAGTGCAGCCACGCCGGTGATATCAAACAACCAACACAGAAGTTGGAAAATAAACACGCAAAGTTGACAAGGACTACGCAGCAGAAAAATAGAACTGAGCAAATCAAATAAAGTGGAATGCTTTTCGTCCAGATTAAGAGGATCTAGTTTACGTGTAAGTAGATGTAGCAAACCGAGGTGAGGAAGCATGATGTATGCAATATCAACCTCAGCAAGGAGAGCCTAGTGAATAATTACTAAAACAAAGTGACGATACTCTCTTTCATGCTGTGCTGCCCAAAAAACCATCGCCGTGGAATCACTGCGTTCTGCCACGTGCGTATGTGTATTTGTGACAGTGAGCCGTTTGATGCCGAGCGACACTGCCGCAGAGGGATGCGATAGATCATAGGCCAAAGTGCAAATGATTTTACGCTAACATGCCCTAGATGTGGGGCTAAAAGTCCAAAGTATACTGGGCATAGCTAGCATCGGCTAGACAGCCACTGCATGACTTGATGCAGTATTGATTGTCCAGAATGTCTCCTGTTCGCCAAGTTTCGTACTTGGTTTGTAAACTGATTATGAAGCTCGGTGAACAGGTGAAAGCCGGAGCTACTGCATGTGCGGAAGAGCACGTCTGGGCGGCCAGTTCATTCTTTCCGGACTCTTCCGTAGCACCGTGATTGACTACAGCTCGGAGCTTTCATTATCCAGTCAGTAGTTAAGACGGCTGAGCCAAATGGAACGGACGGAAGCCACCGTGAGGAAGGAACTGGCAGTATATAGCGTGACGCACATCCTCCACTGAAATGCGCGATTCTAATGCGTATAGGATGAGGTTGCCATTCAGAGACATGGGTTCGTTTGCTGATCGGCCATCGTCTAATGGCATTACAAACTAGTTATACTTACAGAATAGTGATGGGAGGAATGTGGTTCAAAGACCAGTTTCATTTATGTTTGAAAGTATCCGACAGAGGTGATCCGGGGACTTCGTGAATGGCTGCACAAATCCTAGGTTTCCAACTGCAATCGGGCCACACAATTCAAGAGTTCATTTGGCTTAAGTAGAACTGATGTGATAACGAGGTCGATACTGTTAGACACATTCATGTGATGCAGTTCCACGGGACAGTCGGGCGGGGTACGTTGGCGACGTCATAAAGGGTATCAGCAGTACGCCGGTACAAAGTACTGATGCTTCGTTGCCGCGAAACCACCACCACGTCGCCCGGTCTCTAGGTAGGCTCGAACCCGCACTCTCGGATTAGAAGACAGGTTTGTGATCGGCTGCCGACACCATAACCAGGTAATTAGTGACGTGGGTTGCAAAAAAAAAACTACGGAAGTTACAAGTTAGTCTGCCAAGAGTACCAAGCGGTATGTCGACATGCCGGCACGAATGCGCTCGGCTGATGAGCTCTTGGCAGACAAATAGACCGCTGGAATTAGAAAGCATCAAACATGAACCTTAGTGAGATGAAGATTACATTATGATAACCAGCAGAGTACAGTTAGTTGATGCATGCTCAGATACGGTAGAAGAAGCAATGCGTCACAAAAAATTAGCCGGAAAGTAAAATCCTGCTCCTCACACTTAGGTATTCCACCTAAAGGTCCCTCGAATGATGTCAGGTCAGATGGAGACACTGGACCGAAGTAGTTCAGATGACTTACCGTGTGCAGGATGCGATTCCTCTATGATCGGAGCCGAAACATGAGGACGAGAAGACAAAGCGGAGGAGGAAGAGATTGGTGGTGTGAAAGAGGAGCTGCAAGCGGACACGCTTACACCTCTGGCAGGGAAAGCGGAAGCCCCGGAAGACAAGGAGGACTGGGGAAGTGCGGAATCCAAGGGCGGTTTTCGTAAATCAATATGTTGTGGAGCCTGAGCGAACGATGAGAGAGCAGAATGAAGTCTGCTGTCAAAATTTTCGGGTGCAAAGGAAACACGTCGGTCATGAAAAATACGATGCGAAGGATGGATCTAAAGAGTCGCGCAGAGAAGAAAAGGTGGCAGCAAAATTGCCCTTTGGAAAACACTCCAAGAGGCGTAACAGACGCTTAGCTGTACAGAAACATAATTTGGGTGTGATCACCTGTCATTCGAAGAGGACAAGAGAAATGCAAACAACCTGAGCAAAGTTCAGCATGGAATACCCCCGAATCGTGAGGCTACTACATTAACCAAGGCAGTGTTCAGAGAGCAACGCAGCTGTACACGGAAACAACAGTAGCGATGGTGCTGTAGTTCACAAGCCCGAAAGGACAACCGTCACCCAATTCACTGTAGGGAAAACACAACGTGACTGCCCATCTGGAAGACAATATGGCGAAAAGTTCAACATTCCCAAACCAGAGGATCTAGGGTGTAATGTCAATCAACAGAACTGTGGTAGTTAGATCCCGTGCCATGGCCACTATGTTAAAAAGTAAACGATTAAAAATAGTATTTATATCGTTTGTGACAAAACCAAAACTAAATGAAAGGGTGATATTAGTGGAGCGGATGTAACCGATGAAAAATCGTATGTAGCACCAGTAACATGCGTTGCGTATGAGGCAAACGAGAGAAGTAAAGGACGATGGGTGAAACACACACGTTGTCGGATACAAGGATCGTCTTCAATCTCTCCCGACTAACGGGCTGAGGTTTGCAGAACACGTTTAGTTGGATTCACTACCTGACATGGCAAACAGTTGACGTCAATGGCATTTGAGTTGTGAGCATCTTGGGCCCTCCCCAATCACTAAGCTTCCCTCCCCAACAACGACCTAAAACCCAATGCATAACATGACATATAGTACAGACAGATTTTTAGCTTTTGTAGTCTGTTATGCTTAAGCATTCATCTTCCTGCGTTGCGGCACATTAACTGTGTGCTTCTCACCATCGGATAACGAGTATTGATAATGATGACGATGACTGATGATGATGATTAAGCTCATAGATATATCACTTTGAGAATCCCAACTAGGAAACGAAGGCTTCGTTCTAAACAATATAATGATAGAACGGGTATAGCAGGATGAATGTATTTCGTGCTCCCTGAGACCACGCAAGCGAAGAACATATCAAACGATTGCTGAGGGATAAAATCAAGAGCTTGAATGGATACAGAAAGAAAGAAAGAAGAGGCACAGGCCACAGCAGAATCACAAGTTGTGAAACAACTTTCAAGGTTCTCAAGGAAGCTTGAGGATGATAGTCAGCTGTTTTGCACACAAAGATCATGGCGGTTGCGATTAATGATCATGGCCTCCACAAACTTGAGTATTCCGACGTTTGTACTGCATTAGATAACCATCTACGCCACAGCTGAGTCAATCTGATGACCTGTATTCAGTAGGTGCTTAGCAATCGATGAGAGCATTTTGGAGCTTGACGCCAGTTCTCAGGTTTGATCTCTCATAGCGGCATCAATAAATTCCGGAATATGCTCACAAACCTGTTTTCGCAGACGCCGATCCGTTCTGTCGACATAACCGCTTCCGCAGCTACAGTTAAAACAGAAAATACAACGCAAGAGGCAGTAACATCGGTAGAGCTCAGCGCGATCGTAAATAAACGATCAACCGGTGTCCAGTGCGAGATTTTAAGTGTTGTCTGACTCGATAGCCAGTGTATAAGTTGCAAAGTAGATGGCCTGGCTGTCTGAATTGCAGTTGTCCGCGTAATTTGTGCAACATCTGCAATGTGATATTTATAGATGCTTGATCATGCTGTGGAGCCCTCATGGGTCCACAGAAGTTCCACACCCAGCTGTTTCCCTCCCGCTGACCCCGTCCCACCGGTTTCGTATGGCAACTCACATAGATGACAAGTACGCCCACGTTCCCTCGGTGTCAGCGTTATCTACTTCTATTACGTCACTTATCTTACCTTATTAGGCGACAATTAACCTGCCGCAAACAGCCCGTGATTCCCTCGGTAACACCGTTTCTGGGTGACAACTCCCATTAATTGATATTCGCCTTTGTAAATGCCTTTTTACTCTCGTCAGCCAGGCAACACGGTGCTATAAATACGGAGGTGTAGAATTCATGTTCGCCTTTCTTCTGAGTCAGTAGAATAGCTCTTGTCGAAGGACTGTCTTCTCTCTCCCTCTCGGTCTAGCGGTGCAGTTCTGGGATTGCGCTCGTCTCGCGTGTGGGATGATCGCGGTTAAGAGCTGCGGGGGCGTAAACAGTTTGGATTTCGTGCAGCTACTCGACACGTGCGGAACGACACCGACAAGCGTTACTGGCTAAGCAGCATAGATACATATAAGAACAGTAACCCGGTGTCTAATGGTATGCTCATAAACAGGAACGATCTCTGGTATAGTAAAGAAATAAACAGCGCATATATTTACAAAATCGAAAATGTGAAAGTGGTGAGGAAACTAATGGAGCATGGTGCACTCATTTTACTATAGGTCAAAAACGTAAGATAAACACAGAGATGTTGGGCCGAAAACGAATGATCCTCCAGTCTCGAAAAGCAGCATAACGCGGTAATTCAAGACGCATCGAGAAACTTTACCTCAATGTATCTAACCGTGTAACCCGATAACAGCAGGTTGATCGAAGTAACACTAGTGCCGCTGTCTGTGGCTTCACTGCGTGGTAGTTTCGATCCCCACTGCGAGGCGTGATGTCCCAAATAAGACTGTCCGTTAGAATACCTTCATTGCAATAGCGAACCAGCTAATGCACTTTCACTTGCTTCCCTCACCTTATCACCTCTCACGCTCTCTTCGACTACTGATTAAGCATCTCACCATAGTGAGACTAAGCCACTCTCTCCCTCGTGAACTGTATATCGCAATAGATGCTTCCCCACATGCTGTGCTATCTCACCTATGTACGGCACATAATCTGCTTCGATGATGTCCATCCCTACCTAAGTCTCACGCACCACCTCCCTGATAGGCCTAGGTTACCTCGTTTACGTCTTCTAAGCTCGGCTATGACAGTCCGTACAACTCAGTTTGTGCACTGAAGACGATCTAGGTAATAAATGCTATATAACAATGAATGTGCTTAACAAATAAATCAAACGAGTTTCACATGTTTGGTTGAGTATTAAAACCAGCTTCATCATGAGCCATCTATGTTTGGGAATGGACGTTAGGCTTTTCTCTTCCCGGCTTAGCTTGAGAGTTGCCTTTTCAGGTCGATAAAATTCTCTTGATGTTCTTCAATCACCGGTCGTCCTTCGCGAATGAAGCTCCAACATTCCCAAAGTAGAAGGAACATATTTTTGACTCTTGATGGAAGATTGGCAATCAGATATCGCTACTTAACTTATTAGAAATATTGCAATTTTGTATCATTTCTGGACAATTGGGCTTGGTCTTACCTCGTTTCAGGAGAACATTATTACAAGCATATACTACTTCGCGCTACCATGACTGCAGCTATAACTACCTCGCCAGTGGTTAATAACTTCAAGCGAGATGTTTCCCATTAACCTTCTCCGGATTAACATTCAACCTATTTACCATGAACCGGGATTGCTATGAATTGTACCAAATGTTTACTAATACCCGATGTTATTTTGGCGCAAATCAGTGCCACCTTGCCATTGGTCACTAAAGGAATTCTCTAGATCGCAAGCATTTTCTCTTCCCTGGCGTCAACCCAAAGTACGTACAACTTATACCTCGCCAGTAAGAAGCACATCGAAGAACCTAAACGTTCACACTCAAAGTAATCTTACGGATTATCTTCAAAGGATTTCGGAAGAAGAATCTCTACGACTCAACTATCGAATAACTAAGCTCCATTCATCTCCCGGAACGGGCTAACATCATGACAGAAACAGTCGAAAGTAGGGTGAACATGAAGACTGCGAATAGCAAGATGCTCATTTAACTGCAAATCGGTGACGCATACTCGAACAAACTTGCAATTTATGAGCGAACACTTCCTTCAGATGTAAAATCATTTCGAAATCTTCTAATTCTTATCACTTCTTGGACGCAACAATTTACTTGGGAATTGTTTTATCTTGCTACCTATGTCAAATAGCGGATAATACACACCCAAGTCAACCGCTTAGATTTTATTGATAAGTTGGATTACTGAGGGATAGAGTGAAGAAACGAGCTGTGATAAATCAACCCATCAGTAGTTCAATGTGGGGGAAAAGATAATGTGCACAGACCAGCTGAAACGCGACATAACGAAAAGTTCAGCCTTATAACATTCCCAAGCCTGATAATCTGGAGTGTAATGCCTGTCAATAAAACTGTTGGTCTCTGCTTCTTATCTCCGGAAAAAATCTGCAATGGATCAGAATAAGCTGAAGTGTTACAGGAGAAGGAATTACTCAACAATGCAACACGCATGACTGTGTCGGTTTTTTGAAAAACAAACGGTGAGTGAGACCACTTGAATGATCTGGGAACAGCCCTGACTTTAAGCCCATTGAGAATTTGCGCAGAATTAGGTACAGTAAAGTTAGAGAGAAACATTTGTCAAGTATCAAAGAAATATTTAGGGCGGTCGATAGTGTTTAGGTGAAGGACATCATGATGGAATATTGCTGTACGCTAGGTGACAGCATGACCTGTCGTACATAGACTTTGGTGAAAAACGAGAATGTACTAATTCTCGAAGATAATAAGTTTCTGAATTGCGTAACATAATATCGCGATATTGCGCATTTGTGTGATAGATAGTGTCTATAAAATCGATATCGTTACTCAAGTCAATATGGAACTATTCTCGTCTGCTTGTGGCTCCTTTTGTCGCTAAAAACAGGCGAAGAAATTCTAGGATTATGCCATTGTCAGCGGAAGCTCTATTCTCAGTTTACAAAGTGCCGCTCGGTAAGACTGCAATATATGTTCCTTCCGGCCCAAAAGTTGAGTCAAAGTAATCAGCAATTAACTTCGCATCACTTCAGACCATTGAAGTGGGTGTGCTGCTAGGTCGCCAAACTTACAAAAATAAACGAACAATGCAGTTTGCGCTCCAAAACTAGGTGGTCATATCGGCAAATAGCGCGAGTTCACCGACTGTGCATGGGGCGCCACAGGGTTGCTCAGCTTCCAGCGCAAGCGGCTCTCATAAAATTGCGATTACACTAATGTGAAACGCAACTTAGTCGTAAGAACAGCAGCCGACAGGGTTAGTTGTATTCACGGCTCCTACAAGACAAATTTATTACCCCGCAGATCCATGCGTAGTGTGTGGTCGCGAGGATCTGATTATGTCGTTGAAACTCGCTGAGCGCATAGCTCATATGCGACACGATCGATAACTTGACTACCTAACATGCGGCGCGAAAAAACTGGCAACCACAGAATGTTCGCGCTATGTACGGAAACGAAAGCATGAGAGTAGTTTTATGTACACACCGCGGCCTCCAAGTGGTGCATAAAAGAACTAAGGTGAAGCGGATCAAGAGAAAAGAAACACGAAAACGTCCCATGGAGGTTGACGTGATAGGACAACTTTGTCCACCAACAGAAAACATCGGTAAACTTGTATATAAATAACAGGTATAAACGGTTGGCGGCATCCGGTTCCGGATTTGCCTGTCACTGCGCCTCCAAAGGACAGCCACAGGACGCCTGCACCTACAGAGGGACTATGGGTGGCCTACGCTGCACCACCCACAGCTCCATTCACACACCACATATCCAGTGTAAACCCGAAGTATTAAGATCGAGAAGCACGTAGATAGGAGCTCCGTTTCGACAACGGAGCTGCTCCACACTCACCCAACATGCACAGCAGCATTGCTGTCTACCTGGGAGATGATGCGTACCAGACGTACATGAGGTGGTGGCTGGACCGTAGTCCGCTACACACTGGATCGAAGCACACTTTGAGACTATCACGGCATGGAAGACCGTGTACACCGTCCCCCATAGTAACAATTCACAATCTCCTAGAGCCAGTAATCGAGGTGGAGGGTGTTAGACAGGCAGGCACCTTGTCAACACCAATGTCAGGTGAACCACACAGAATTTGAGGAAAAATAAACATGCAAACTGGATAATAGATGTACGATAGTATCACAGGATAGAGCAAATGAGAAATGTGTCCTAAGTCTGATCCAGCAAAAGGGTAATTTTGGGCAGGTGTCCGTGTAAATCAGGAGATATCAACCAATGAGAAATGAAAAGGATAGAAAAATACCGCAAAATAAACAGGGAATCTGCGGAAAAGTATCAGAACTAAGCAAATAAAAGTTAATGGGTTAAAGCATACCTAGTGTATGGCGAGATAAGCGCAAGTGCAAATCACTCTAGCCCAACTGCGGTGAAGAAGCCCAATAAGTGCAACACCAACAGGTAGAGATAACATAGGCAGAAAAGTCAATTATCTATCGATCACCCAATGCACTCACGTGATCACTAGACCGAGCGGAGGGGAATCGTGGTGCGACGATATGCTGATTTCGTGAGCTGATGATAGCGGAAGAAGGGGCTGCGGACACATCGCCGTTGCTCACACGGGAATGGACGTGGGCTGATGGCGACGATGATGGCGGAGCGCCATTGTGGCCAATTCGTACGTGCTGATGATGCAAGGGAACCGGAGGTGGACCGGGGTGAAGCATTTTGGTTCGAAACGGAGAGGGTGCACCGGATCCCCCATCCGTCGGGGCAAATGCAACAACACGGGAGGATGGCAATTGTGGGGGCGCGAATGGTGGAGGTGGGGACTCAGTGAAAGCAACATTGGTAGCAGCATTCGGGGGGATCTGGGCATTCAACGAGGCAAGACAAGCGCAAATGACGAAGCACGCATGCAAGAAGGAAAGGCGGTGACAATGCGATCAATAATGGACTGAGCAACATGCAGACAGGAGGAGAGCAGAAACGCCTGTGACAGAGTAAAGTGGAAGCGGATGTAGCAGTATGGTATGTGGGAAATATTGAAGAGCAGAGAATACAATAAGGAAGATAGCCGAGGAGTGCCACACAAGATGCTCAATGAAGGCGGCGGAATAGTTTGTGCTATAATGTGAAGGCACACACGCATTCAGCAACCAGTTTCCTCACAGTTGTGTCACCTCGGACGGGCATAATACTGAGGAGGATAGGGTTCGCGACCTGCTATCTCCACCTAATGAGATCGAAACTCGTCGTGGTAGTGTTTTCGGGTGAGCAACACTCAATTTTTATCTGTTGAGGATAGTTCGTGCAGTAACAAATGTCAAGTGGCCGCAGTATATCAGCTTGTCAGGCGTATTGCTCAGCGATAAAGCCGGTGTGTGTGTGGATCGGATACGTGCCAATGCGCACTGAAGACATGAAAAGATGGCCACTGTGGAGTGTCGCTCACATGTGGTGGGAACACAGGGTCGGCTGGTTTTCGGCACGACGCCCTCTGATAGCTCACTGCTGCACCGTTTCCGTTGGCTAAGCGGTGTCCTCTGTATGCTTCTGGATCGCCATCCTAGATGTGCGTTACATGCGGTCGATGTGCGTGGTTGAAGGAGACCGCGAGGTGACCGGTCGATGAGGTAACATAAAGGCAAAAGGAAAGTAACCGCGCTGGTGCGTTGGGATAGTCCAAATTAGTGGTTAAGGATTACATTACACATGATGTACTTGTGCAGTCAGTGGCATTTCCGCTTTCGAGTCCATGCACACAGCTGTTGATTTTGATTCCATCTGGAAGAGCATTATTTTAAGTTTATTTTCCGTCTTTTGTTTGTGTTCAGCCTCACTTTACTCGTCCTCGCTATTTCCTGTTACTTTGGTGGCGTGAGTTGTGGCAACTGGATCCACCGCACCTCGGTTTGCGGATAATAGCTTACTAACCAAACTGAACTTACAAATAGGCCACACATGTAAGTGTCTTTCACGAGTATTTGTGGAAATAACGTGCACGTATTGAATTACAGATGCAACGAGCGCTGCGGTCAAAAGTCATCTTCGTCAGGATGTAGGTAAGGATATCATGATCGTGAGGTTGAAATAAAGACACACGAGGGGAAGAACATCGCCAAAAAGCATCCGGCAGAATGGGTGCATATAAAGGGATTATGCAGCGCAGCTTTCTAGCACCAATAACCATCGCATCGTCATTGTCTTGTACCAAGGCAACGAAACGTCTGTGGCTGTGCGACGAAAATCGAAGACGGTTGGTCGAACCACAAGAACGACCCAGATATTGATCAGAGCGGATCACATGCATGCATATGGCTAGGTCGCCATACTGCGAAGAACCGCTTCAGTTTATTAAACGAAATTGGCAATAATGTGGAATGACAGAATGAGCGAAACGCCGGTTTTCGGCACCAGATTCTAAGGGAACTAGGAATGTCGACTAGCGATGCCTACAATATGCCATGAAAAAGCATCAGAAGCAGACGCCGTTTGTGTGCCCAACCTTAGACGTCCGATTGGTAAGTGAATTACCGTGGCGTTCCCTAAAAGAAAGTGAGAAATACGGTTCTGTCTGCTAAAGGATGTCGCGTAGAACGCAGCCTCAAGGAACTGCGTCTGGCCACGAGCTCAGGGAATTATCAAGTGTGTGTTACAATGAGAAGTATATTTCAAGTGAGATGATTAGATAATATAAGAAAAGCAGCACTTAGTCGCATCCGAGACGTTAAGCTAAGAAAAGCTTCATGTTAGGATGGACAGACAAATCCAATCGGAGACGGATGTAGATGTAGTTCAAGGTGAAGTAACGGTGTTTGAGTGAGGGTACCTGAGACTTCGATGAACTGTACCAATGGTTCTTAGAGAAAAGAAGAGAGTCGCTGATGGCTAATGTAGTTAATCCTTCTGACACAGGAGAGATTGCAGGGAAAGTGCCGCAGTGGCCACCAACTGAAATCCCTATGGTTGACAAGAACTGGAAAATATGGTGCGACAATGCCGGTGTCTTTAACCACCTCACACACATGCATATCGCTTCTGCTGTCGAATGAGAAGTGGAGGGGCAGTTGAATGAGTGAAACGCAATCAAGCATCCAACAGAGGATGCGTTGCTGCTCGCATCCGTACCAGTTCACGGCCATACGAAATGCATGGGACACACAACTCGCTTAACATCGTTGGCCTGTTCATTTGGAGGTCGCCCCCGAGCCAATTCCTCCGGTATAGTGTGGCTCTACTCGTAACGCTGAGGTGTGTACTAGTGAAACTCATGAAAACCTCAGACTATGGCTTATGCAGGAGTGTAGGCATCCCTGGGGGGTGTATGGTTGCTGAGTCCACCGTCATATTGGTAGCATTTAGTGCAAAACGACTACAAAAGACTCTGTTCCAGTCGCATTGACCGCGTCCACCCAAGTAACCAGCTGAAAGGACTAGAACGGATGAAAAATATGTACCTGCCGATGCTACACACGTATACAGCCTACTGGCACTCTGTGTAATCGTGTCCTTGTATGCAACTAAATATAATACGCTTTGTGTCCTTACGAGCAAAAGGGGAAAACTAGGGGAGGAGCACACCCAGATTGCAGCAAGCAGTTTAATATTAGCCTCCAAAGCGGCGATGAACGCATTCCGTGCATCCACAAAAGGCACATGCAGAGGGGCGCCTTCAAGCACTTGGAGCAAGATTCACACAGGGCCGTTGCAACGCAGAAAGTGTATGTACAAAAAAGGATGAGGGAAACATGGGCAAAAGTGTAAACAGGCTTAACAGTTGAGATGAAAAACTACATGGGGATTCGGCTATCAACTTACGCGGGAGAAGCGATGGCGTCATGAGGAGGACAAAGAAAAGAAGAAACTGAAACACGACGACTCACCATGGCTGACTTGTGCTGATGCAAGGGGTAGTGGTGCTGGTGGTTCCCAGTAGATGGTGCCTCCGAAACGTGCTCAGTGGTATGCATAATGGAAGATGACGGTGGATGACCAGAGTTGGGCACGGAGGCACGGACACCTGCTCCGGAGACGCCTAGTTTGGGTTGATGTTGTGGCTGGGAAGACCGAATGGACAGGGAGCCACGGGGTTTTGGATTTCGGAAATGCTGAGGGAAGTGATGCGCCGATTGCACCGGTTGTGCGGAGGAATGCGCGCTGGCGATTGAAGTGGGGGAAAGGATCGAAGCGGCGCCAACACCTGAGGAGCGCTCGTGTGCCTAAGTCAAATGCAGGATTAAAAAGCAGTCCGCGGTTGTAAGGAAAAGGTAATTAGATATCTCATCTAAAGAGGAAAATACTGGAAATAACATAGGGTTTTGCATGAGTTCAACAAGTTCTACGAAGTTCAGTCACTGACACAGGTTTCTGCGAGTTCGATACCAAAAGAACAGCACCATGCCCCGATGACCAATGGCACAAATAATGAGAAAACGACTCCTGATCTTACCTAAAAGGTCAGAAGCATAAGTGCCAGCCAACATCATACATGAGGCCGGAGTGGTAGTGCTATTTGAATGATAAGCAGTTTTCATCACGAGACTGGACCTTAACGTTGTGCGATGGTTTGCGTACCTCCGTGACTCATTGAGCTACGCTGGGTGGCACTTTCTAAGTGATTTCAGAGCCACTGATACCAAACAGGCCCATGGTTATGGATCAAATAAAGTCAGTCACACAATCCTCTTCGGATGTCGGGGAAAGATCAATGGTCCTCGTCTCTTAAAACCTAGCCATGAGAGACAACAAGTTTACGGGTTATAAGCTCATAGCGTCAAACCTCAAACCAGCCAGTTCCTGGTCAAATCGGTGCAAACCCACTAACTCCCACCTGCGGTTGGCCGTGGTCGCAGGTGCGTGACAAACTACAGCCGTAAAACACATGTGCATTGTTCTAAATCCTCAAAGGACGTGTGCGATAAACCTCAAACAGATCCCAATGGGTCTTTGCAATCACATCCGCGAGCTGGACTTACCCCCTATTCCCTTGAGTCTGGCTATTAAGCCAACGGCTCCGGGTGGACTCCACCAAGCAAACCTCCATGTACAACGTTAACTTGTGACTCAGACTGTTGAGTCAAAGGCTAAAGGCCGGGTATTCGAACAAAATTTCTTTATCTGAATAGGCGTCGAAAACACCCCCACTTTTTTCGTTTTCCTCTCTCCTATTCACCGACCATCAAGCAAGAAACTATCGCAGACCAAGCTACTGGTGCAATTAATAAATGTAACCCATCCTTAAAACCAAGGGTTTCGTTACACATGGGTCCCTAATGAACAGGAGGATTTGTGATGGTATTTTACTGATTCGTCCCAGCAGTTCAAACCAGCTAGTCCAACCGGCAATTCAAAAAAGCACAAGACGGCCGTATCGCACTGCTACGGTTGAGCAATTGCACGCATCCTACTGCTCCATCAAGAACCGAACCCATGACCTCTATCAGGTTAAACTAACAAGTCAGCAGCATATGCCACTGAGCCGGACTTAAATGTAGCCGGTCCGCGGGCGTACCTGTAACACATTAAAAGATAATAGGTCCACAAGTGTTCTTGCTATTACCGTCGTTGCACCCAATAACCCTTAGCACCTCGTTCCTCTTTGGCTCAATATGCCCTGTGTTCTTCCGTGCTTCTTTCGCTGCATACTTCAGATCAGCCTCTAAGTGGTTATGATATAGGCTTCTAGCTGTCTACGAAGTAGTAATTTTGTGTTGCACCCACTGTACCAGTTGGACGCGGAAGAAACTGGAACGCCCGACCGGGGGAATATTACATTCATGTGGTGCGATGGTTTGCGCACCTATTCGACCTACTGAGGTATACTGGGTGGTGTCCTAGGGCTCCTTGGAAGTAATGTCAGTTAGAATAGTCAATGGTTAGAGGTCAACTGAACGCAGCCTCCCAGTCCTCCAGGTTAGGGGTTGGAAAGTAGACGGCGTCCGCTTCTGTAAAACCGAATCGCTGTCATCTCCCCGCTATCATGCGGACAGGACTTTGAGCCAAAGGCTTCAGTTGTGAACCCTAGTCGTTTTCCCGTTGAGGTCTGAGCACCCTGGCAGTATTTAAGCCCACGCACAACCCTGAATATCCCCTCAAACTTCAAGCACATACTACATCGGCCGTCCTGTAGCTTACAATAGGTCGTCTTATCTGCTGTATACAGCAGGAATAAGTGAAAACATGCAACTGCTAGGGCCTCCCTTCTTTCCTTACCACCCGTTTCTCCTACTCTCTTCCTAACCCCCCCCCATTTCTAGCCTTTCTTCTATAATTCCCGTTTAACTGATAGCAACCGCAATGCCATCGGAGTCATGCCGTCTGCAGCTATTTTCCCGCAGCAGCCACAGGACGCCTATCGACAACAGCCCCTTATAAGGCTAAGCTGTCCCGGACGGCATTCAACGTGCGCACTTGTGCGAGTGTTGGACAGTGCGTATTGACGTGTGCTGCGGGTCCGAACCTAGGATCAATGACCATCAAGAGATTGTTGAACTCAATGCACTAGGTTTGTCCTCTCGCTATTAGTTGTATGCACCCGGAGACGATGATGCGGCAACCACTGGTTAAGCTGGGGTGGACATACTTCCCAGACCCCAGAACTGAGTCATCATCAGTTGTTTGGATTCCCACGAGCGACCCCAGATTGACGATATCAACTACGGTTGATTCATGAAGGTGGTTAAGACGCTGTTTGTTCGTGGTCTCCGCGTATGCTCCCACCGACTGCAGTTCTGATGCTGCCAAGGATACATTTTATCCCGAGCTGAACACACTACTACGCAGTGTTACCAGTTCATATATCATAGTGCTTGCACAAGTGCATGCACAAGTAGGTCGCCTTGGCTCTCCACAAGCTCAGCTAGGTGATAATTATGGGCTTAATTCCGAACGGACGGACAACGGCGAGCGTCTGTTGCGAAACACCAGTTGATGCTTAGTAGTACCGCTTTTAGACACAGTGAACGCCGAACTGTCAATTGGCGTCCTCCTGCAACTGGCCAACGTGGGACCCAAACTGATTACTTTGCCATAAGCTACAGGTGACGTGGTTCCATCCTGGATTGCCGCTCGTTCCGGAATACCTGCGTCCTGATCATGCCTTGGTACGCTGTGAATTTTCAATGAATTTTACTGGGAGGAACACAAAGCGTCTCCCCTGATTGACAACTGAGAAATTATCTCAGCCCTCGGTCAGGCAAACCTACTAGGATGCAATGCGTACCGAACTTTCAATCTCTTGTTCTAATGACAATGAGCTTCAGTGGAATAGAATCTAGGCTGTCATGCACGATGCAAGAGCATCTACTTGTGGCACTACCAATCGTCACCGCACCACCAGTCACTGGACATCCGAGAGGTGGGTGAACCTGTTGGAATCCAGAAGAAAACTCCCGGCTGGCTCTGACCACAATGTGACAAGACGAAGTATTAGGCGCGAGCTAAAGTGGAGCCAGTGTGCTAACAAAGAAGTCGGTGGACTAGTACGGTTGAATAAATAGAGGAGACAGGAGCAGCAGGTAAGTATTGTAACCACTTCCGAATGACCCGCAATCCTGGTCTCATGAAATCAAGAGTCAGTGAAACACTCAGTTAGCACGAGCACCCTAATTCATAATAAAGAGCGCAGACTAAGTCGAGAACAGCTCAATTAGTCTCATGCTCTCGGACCCATTACTGATGACGTGATTCAGGCAGAGCCATGACCGCTTAGTTTCGAGGCTCCATTGAAGGCTGAGGTCCGAAAAGCAATTATAGCACTCAAGCGTTTTTCGAGCTACTGGTCCGGATTCCTTCGTACCCGTAAAATATAAAGATAATAGTGTGTTACCCTGTAAATACTGAACTCCGTGTTCAAACAGGTCTGGAAGCAGGAGGTAATGCCAGCTAACTAGAGTGAGTTGAATATGATGGGAGTGTACAAAAAGGACAATAGCACCGACTGTGCTAACCGTAGAGGTATTAGCCTAACGTCGGTGATGACCAAATTACAGGCCTCAATTCTCGTTCGTCACAATACAGCATAACAGGAATTTAAAATTTGGAAGATTAAGCAGGTTTCCGCCCAGAACACGGCTGCATTAGAACTGCGTCTCATGTACGGCAGACAGACAGTAGCCGTTTCCATCGACTTCAAGAATGCGTTCAGCACAGTCGGTCGACGCAAGCAGTTCGAAATGCTTATGCGCAAAGGTGTTCCCATGAACTACGTGTTCCACCCTCGAACACGACGGGTCGCGTCAGGATCTACGGTGATCTGTCGGATAGCTTTCTGACAAAAAGTGGCGCTCATCAGAGTTATCCAATTTCTCCATTTGTGTTCAAATTCGTCGTGGAGCGTTTCCTTGCGGAATATCACTATGCAGATGTTGAGGTGATGCTTGGTGGATAGCAAGTTGATCTTGTTTATGCAGACAATAGTATCTTGATATTTAAGGAAGTTGGGGCGGCGTAGTCAACCTCGAATAACCTATCTCGAATGGTCCCATCATCTGACATTCGCTTTCCACCTTCAAAGTGTAAAGTTGCAGGACCACCAGCCAAATGATGATTCTTTGACCCTTGGTATCAAGGAACTCGAGATAGTTGATCACATCACTTAACTTGGAAGCTGCATCAGCAAAAGATGGGTGCGCAATTAGTGACGTCAGATCACTTATTGTAAAAGCAAGGACTGGCTTCCTAAACTGTGAAATCCGTAGTTACATAAAGGGGTTTCCCTCGATCTGAAAGGCCGTGTTAACAAGGTCACAGCGAAGTCCGTACCAATCTATGAGAGCGAGACTTCACTCCTTCGATCTGAGGCACCTTCAATTCCTTGGTCATCGCTGCCTGCGAAGTATTGCTGATGTCGGACGGCACAAGCGTGTCCACAACGATGATGTGGGTAGGCCAGTGCCAGAATATAATTAGGATAGGTAATAACAACAACATATAATAATGCGTAAGTTGGCGTGAGCAAGTACTATGTATACCCGGTCACCGCTTACCGAGAATGGCCTTGTGTTTCACCATATGAAGGGTGGTGCAAAGCTCGAGATGGGTAAAAGCTGAATTAGCAACGGAAAATGAAGTCACTGACTACAAACATAGGCGCCGTTGGCCCGTCTCGCCTTCCATGCTGGAATCTACATGACCCACCCTTTGTTTAGCTACAGACGTCACAGGACATGGCTCACAGACGGCACCAGTGGCGCGTTTGCTGTTGTTTCCTAGTACTACTGTCCGTTTAAAGTGTGCCGAGTTACCCGCGGGGTAATGGATGATTATGACACAGAGCAAAGAAAGCTGTCTCGCCGATGCTGCCTTATCCTAGAGGTGTAGGCACCTCGACCCTGCATGTTCGCTTAAGGCATTTAGCGTATACGCAGGTTCCCCTTCTCACATCTTATTATTCCTCGTTCTGTAGATCATTGTGGTTGTACGGCAGCGAAGTATCAGTTCAAATGGCTGATAATTATGAGCTGCCAGGAGAAATCGGTAAAATTTGACCACATTGGTTTGTTTAACTTCGCACTCTGGGTTAGATCGGCCACGAGGCAGTACTAACTCTAACTCTGCATTCTATTGGTATTTATGTGTACTGTCACCGAAACAGGCATGTAAGTAACAGTGTCGCGTCGGGTCAAAGACTCCCTGGTTCCGAACGTATCGATAATGACTAAACTCTACGTGTGCCTGGAGATAACGAGGCAATAACCCTCATCCAACGACCTGAAGGGAAGCTACTCGATAGGACACCAGTGAACAGCAGGATGTATGTGGTTTGATTTTGAACCTCTACTGGGGTTAAGAAACACTGTCTGGAAACAAGGAGTCTTTTCATGACTTCCGTTTATGCTCTAAACGACTGCAGTTCGGAGGATATCGAGAATGATTTCTATCGTCAGCTTTCATCTCCGCTTCGCATTGCGAAAATACAGACATCGTGATTGTTGCTGGTGAAATGAATATTCAAACAGGTTGCCTATCGGGCTCCGCACAACATCTAGGCCGCTTCGGCGCCGATGCAGAGACAATGATGATCGGTTGCTGCAACTATGCGTCGACCACAACCTTTATATAAGGAGCACCGCTTTTCAGCACAAACGTTAAAGCTGTCTCACCTAGCACCTACCAAATTCCTCGATGACCTAGACCTAAATTGGTCATATTGGCATCAGTTACAGATAGCACATATCAGTCCAAGACTGTAGGTCAGTTTGGAGCAAGCGTCTAGATTCCAACCACGCTCCAGTGCGCGCACGCATGGTGCCTAGTCTTCCAGTCTCAAAGAAGCGCCCAACTTATAATCCCCCTACTTGTAACTTAAACACCTAATCCACAATTCATCGATATCATGACGAACTGGCCAACCAATTATCAGTAGTGAATGAGGTTGTTGAGCCGAACGTCGACTGGGACCGTTTCAGGTATGCCATAAAAATGTTTTTGATTCCTGCTGTGTGACCAACTTGAGACGACCGAATTGCGAATATATCAGTGAGGCATGGATCAGTTTGATCAAAGAACGGAAACACGTGTCAATGGGTACTAAGTTTCAACGTGTCCGTAACGCTTTGAAACGACGCCTGACAAAAAGTTTTCGAAATGAAAGGGGATGTCGATGGGTGGCAAGGGCCCGTGAGATGGAGAGTTATTGTGAACATCCGAGTGCTATCTAGCTCATCAGGAACAAGGGTCCGAAAGAACCCTCAGTTAGTGAGACAATAGCTGATCAAGACGGATAGTTGATCCGTTCTCGGCCCCGTCGACTAGCCCGTTGAGTGCAACATTTTGAAGAGCGGTTCAGTAGACTTATTGCGACACTGCTACTTGCTGAATCAACTGAGCTGATGTGGGAAGTTGATGTCACACTGGTCCCCTTCAGAAGAGATTGGAAATAAGCCGAACGTGTGGGAACGAAGCAAGGCTCCAGCACCCATCGGGTTTTCTCCATCTTTGCGGAAAGTTGGAAGTGAGTCTTTGTAGATTGAACTTGTTGCCGTATGCAACATGATTCGGGACATTGAAAAGGTGCCTTCTGACTGGTGACTATCAAATGCCGTGTTCACCTTCAAAAAGGGTCAATGGACTTTGTGTGAAAACTACAATGGTGTTAGCCGTATTTTCATAGCCTCCAAACGCCTCAAAGTTATCATTCTTCGATGACTTAGCGATCCCTGCGACACCCGAATCACTAAAAGCTAGGATGGCCTCCGCCGTGGCTGCATCAATTACATATTTGATTTTCTTCGGATTTCGGAACATATTCCCGGCAATCTAGTTTTGACTGGTGGGAAACAAACCTCCTAGCTCAGTTGCTAGGCACTTGTTCGACTGTACAAAGTGCAAAACCTCAGAGAACCATTCAACGTTCTTAGCAGGCAAAGTAACCCTAATCTGCTAGGGTTCGCTGAGGCTGCCGGCATCCGGCGTCTAACGCCTAACCTATGCGAGCAACTGGAAGTTTTGACTAGTCTTGCTATGCCGAGGTAAGATGTGATTTTTCCTGTAGAGGCACTGGCACTTTAGCCGATTATTGATTCTTGGTATTGATTCCTTTTCAATTCCGTTCGTTTAAAGTTTTCATTATTAGCCTGTATGCGGCTGAATGAGAATACGCGAAATATATTGAATTCAGGATGTACCGCCAACGGAAATGTTTTTCCTTCTTGCACTTTTAAATTTACTTCAAGAGTTACAACAGAGAAAAACTTATAGAAGACCGGGTATGGTGGTTTTGCCTGACTTGAAATCCGCCTTCTATACTGTTGACCAAGCCAGCTTGTGACACTGTCTATCCGTGAAAGGGGACCCTAGGGAACCTCCTTTCCATTTAAAAGTCTATCTACCGTGACTCCCCAGGCAAGAAACTTGTCTCCTGAGTAGCACAGCACAAGTGGGGTACACCGGAGTTGTCCTATATATGCTCTCTTTTCCAACTTTGTGATCGGAATGATCATGAACCAATTGGTTCTTTAAGACTACACCTGTGTGGAGGTTCTGCCAGGTGACCGACTGACAAACCTGGAGTATGCGGACGACATAACTCACCTTGGATCGTAAGCAGTGATTATGCAAGCACCACAGAATAAACTGACAGTTGGTACTGCACGTTTCGGTATGTGATTTACATCTTCAAAGTGTAAGACTGGGTCGATTCAACACCAGTGCTAGCTTTCGGCGAACAGCCAGCCATTACAGGTGGTGAATCGGTTCACTTACCTTGGTAGCTGTGTCATCTTTGCTTGTAAGACCGCTGCTGTTGCTTTGCGTATCAGCAAGGCATGTGTGATTTTCCACGGGATCAACCGTCTATGGAGGCGGCGGGGTAACGGTCTGTCAGTGGAACGTAGGGTGTATAACACTGCGATAAAGCAGGTGTTACTGTGTGAATCGGAGACCTGGCCAGTTCGCAGTGGACACAGTAAACGCTTGGTGTTTGACCACTGGTGTTTGCGGAATATTACTCACGACTGATGCGAACACCGGCCGCCAGATGGTGGTGCCTCATTCGAGTGTTGGTTGAATCTTAACCGCTTACGCTGGCTAGTTCATGTCCTCCGTATGCCCGTTGATCAGCTCCCTCAGCGTGCATTATACACCGTCTCTGAACCAAGTTTGGTGAGAGCGCGAGATGGCCAGTCTAGGACGCGGCATAAACGCATGAAGAAATCGACTGAGATAGATGGTCAAGCTGGTGCGTGTCGTATTCGTAGATGGGGCCCGAAATGGTCCACATCAGTGGTTGGGGAAAGTTTGTCGTACATCGTGCGGTCGTGCAGTCAATAGCATTGCTGCATTCGGTTTCTTGAATCTAGCCGTTAATTTTCCATCCCGATTAGTTTAACGAAATTCTTTCTTGAATTCATTTTAATCGTATCCTAACTGCAATCAGTCTCACTTATTTACCGACGTGAGTCTTCGCAACTAGACCCACTGCGCGACTGTGCCCTAATCATAGATGTACAACAAGAAAACTGAACTGATACGCCGTTCGCGAATCACAATGGTGTTTGGATAAAAAATATATGACAGCAATCAGAATAAGGCCAGAGATCCAGACTAGTAATTTGCTCAAGGAAATCAAGGAAATTGATGCGATATCGCGTGAACTCCCTAACGATGATATTCAACCGATATAAGTCCACGAAACCAAAGGTAGAATATCTTTCGGCTCACATAGAATCGTTTTAGGGAAGACGGTATGTGTAATAGGCTTAGCGCATTGGTGAACATAGTAGGATACACTTAACAATGATAAGTGAGCACATAAAATCGGAAGGATCACTTACGCGGCAGAAAAATTAGGGTGAAAGAGAAAACGGTAGCAACGGTAGACAATCACACAATTTAAAACTGCGCGGTTCGTGTAGACTGGCTAGCCAATCAGGTAACAAATGAATCAATCAAGCAATTGTCATATATTTGTTAATGTCTGGCTAAATAGTTGATCAAGTAAATGTGGCAATTTCTTAGAAGGTTAACAGGTGTATGATTGTAGGTTGTACCACCAAATTTTCCTAGGCATGGTAAATCAACAATAAATCAAGTAATCACAGAAAACACAGAAGCGATAAGTATGACCCACTTGCAGCTTAGCAAAGTTTTGGCGCAGTGTATTTTCGCCATGCTCGACTGTAGCACTAATAGACGAGTCGTCTTCTTCAACACTCATCAACTTGGTGTTCCGAATAGGGGACTTGGCACCGCGGCGGTATTGACGATTGACATCATTGTGGACCAGTCCTTTGCCAACATTCGCCAGACCGCGCGCATTAAACCCACTGGTAATGGGAGGATTTGGAGGGATGAAATCGCCGGAACGCACCGAGGACCGCTGATCTCTGTCAGCGATAGCAGACGACGGACGGGAGGCAGCCGAAACTTGTCCCACTGTAGGAGGTACAACTCGAGGAGCGCCAGCCGGACAGCCAGCGGCGGCGGCGGCAGACAGTGCAACCGCTGCAGCCGCGGCACCAGCATCATCTTCGTCCTCGTCGCTTCCCTCGTACTCATACACCTGTTCGCGTTCCTCAGCTGTACAGTAAAATATTGAGCACAACAGAGTCGATTCAAGTAAGGTTTATTGTGGTTGTATGTGAAGATGGCGTGAAAACAATCGACTTAGCTAAAGTTTCTTGTATTATCACCCCCGGAGCAACGAGCTCATCTTCTAAGGAGTGGGCAGCCACTAACGAAGGTATGATACTAAAGCACTCTTACTAGGAACACGACAAGTGGCGAGGAAAAACGAACAAACAGAAAACAAACAAGGTGGAAATTATGTAATTCATCGAGAAAGCAACAAGTAAGTTCTGACAACCGTTTCGTAGGTTCATGGTCGCACCCTCGCAACTAGACAAACAGCAAAGGCAAGGCATCAGCAATACGCGGGTACACAGCACCGGTGCTTAGCTGCCGAGCAACCAGTAACGCGTGATCTAAGGATACTATGAGGATCGCCAGGTATCCTACGCAAGTTCGAACCCGGTCCTCAGATTACAAAGCAGGCTTGTGATCCTTAAGGACACGGTCTAACAGAGATTGGAGAGAGACAAGCAGCGACCAACGCTAGAGATCGGTGGCCACAAAAGTAGAAGGAATAGGTAGGCCCATAACAAACCTCGAAATGACGTGATGGTTCAAGGATGCCCTATCGATTCAGGGTAGTATGCACTGGTAGAGTGAAACAGCAATTTCCCATTATAGTGGCGGACTTGGCCTAAGAGTATGCCAGCTTCGTACGTTTCTGTGAAATTGTTGCAGGAAAAAGCAGTGAGTAATGACCGGGGATGGACGAAGGCACAGTATAAATTTTTTGCAGTTCCTGTGCACAGTCGGGACGACAGTGATCATTACAGTCGACTAAGCGTATCAGTGGGAAGATGTTATATACCGTAGTGAGGGCCAGCAAATAGTGACAGTCCCAGGTGAGATGTAACACGGAAATGTGCGAGGGAAGTCAGGAGAAGTCAGAACTTGGAGGTACGTTATTGCGCTGTGTGTGGGTGATGAGGGGCATTTTCTAGTACCCAAATACACAATGACAGGTAAGACGCTCAGGCTGACCAAACGTTTGTGGAAAAAACCGAAGACACTTAATTGTAAATACACAAGGGATCAACAACCACGGACAGAAACGAGTAAATCAAATATGAGCGCAAGCAGTAATCGACACTTAAAACATTGAACAAATGCAGTTAGAGTGACGTGCGGATGGGTGAAATTGGTGCGATAAAGATGTGTGTTCTATGAAGGGAGCCACCATCACTGGTTGTCGGAAGTATCGCGACAATGGGAGACAAGAAAGAATGGAGCTAGAGAATGGGCTGGTGATTAGACGCGGCTTGGTGGGACCTTCCAGATCGGCAACACTAGTGGATGGATTACCTATCGGATGTGATGCGATTGCAGAGTCAATTGTGTGATCGTATTTGTCCCTCTTAATACCTACCATTCTAGGTGTGGATGATAATCCTTTCACAAAAGACTCATCACCGCTACAATCAATTAGATAATCAATGCACATTGAAAAAAGAGGAATATCGTTTCGGCTATTCGGTACGAACCGGTAAAGTGCATTTCCTCCCCGAATGAGGGACTAGAGATCGTTGCTTTTCGCTTTCAATTTAGCGGTTAAGACCCCTCAACCACAAGGAGTGAGCGATAGCCGCCATGATTTGAATAGCTGTCTATTCTTTATGAATTGCCAGTTAGCACCATTACTGGTACTTTGGTGGCAAGAATTAAAAGTAGGTTATTTTTGCTACCACTGTTGCATGTTTGTGATTGACAAGAATGCCCGAAATGGGACGCCATCTAACAAATGTCTACTACTTTTACTGTTTGGGAATATAAAGATTTTTGGTTAGAATTTCATAACCGGATCTAGTAACCATGATGTACGGACCAAAGCTGATCAAGCGAACTGAACTAAGCTACGATTAAGAGAGGAATCTCGACTCCAAATGTAAGGCCTTTAAAACTTACGACGTCTACTCCGCTTGTGCCTGTCGATGTGATCTTTAAGCTGAATACGGACCTGACGTTCATTGGGCAAGTTTGTGATGAAGTCGTGACGGAGTAGGTCGTTTGTATTGGGACGTTTGGTGTAATCCTTGGTCAGACACTTGTTGGTAAAGTCATGGAAACGAGACGACCAGTGACGAGATCCGGTGGGCGACTGTTTCAGTCTGGGGGGCGGATTCCGCATGATTAGGAACAATGCACGCATTGGGTGCATTTCACAAAGTGGTGGCCTACCTTCGGCCATCTCGATCGCGGTGATGCCCAGAGACCAAAGATCGGATCTGGTGTCGTATGTACAACTCGAATCCTGTTCGCAATGGATTACTTCTGGCGCCATCCTGGAGCGTGCAGAATGAGGAGGAAAGAAGGAGTTCACAGCAAGAGCAAAAGAACATAAGAAAAAGGGCCGAAATGTTAGTAGGTTATCATAAATGCATCTTGATTTTGCCAAGCAAACTTCAGCGCGATATCCAGAGCATAATGTACATGTGGACGGACCTATAGATTGGGACGGTGGACATAGAGTAGCAAACGAAAAGACGATGATCAAGACACCAGGATATAGGGACCGAGGATGCATAAACTCACCAATACGGGGTACCAATGAAAGTATTTCGCTTGCCAAACGTCTTGTCCAACTGCGCGCTGACACCAAAGTCCACTGTGTAAAGCACCCACAAAGAAAAAGGAGAATTGCAAATCACTCCGCGATGAAGGGTACGCGTTTGGGAGAAAACGGTCTATCTATTGCAAAAAAACCATGGGCCAAGTTTGTTGGACAAGAAAAGTGCAAACCTCCGGGTCAAGGGTGAATTCTCCCTGAAATTCGCCCATAAAAAGGGCAAAGACAAGGCAGACTAGTATGAACGGAGGAAGAGTACACACCATACCAGTCGTCGAGAATGCACATGGGATGTACTAATCAACGGTGTTAGGAAACACGTGAGACGCATCATCAGTCCGTTAGACCTTGATGAATGGGGTCAGCGGAAATGTGGAACAGAGATGTCAGGAAGAAAGCGATGTGATCAGGGTAACGAGGCGGGCATACTGGTTCTTGTGATGAATTAGCATGAAATCGAAGAAAAGATGGACCCTAAGGAGGATGTGGCCTAAGCCGATGACTTGCGTGACGGCGGTTCATGACAGCTGGCAGTTGGGTACGCTTGGTATGACCATAAGAGTAGGTGCAGATTTTAACCGGGTGGCCAGACAAGGAAGAGTGGTCCGGAAACTGCAGCATTGTTTTAACTGATTTTGATTGCCTCATACTAACCGACGAGGCCGATGAGGGTATGTCTCAGTTCCCCGTAGACATATGCGTGTCAGCTGATCAGTGGAGGTGTTTCAGGGAACATCCTTGATATACATTAATGAACTGCGACCCCGAAGAGGGGAACAGTGATGGCGAAGTTTCACTAGGTTGACAAATCATAATTCACACCACCACGATGCGAAGAAAACTAGGCTGAGCCTTTAAATCGCGCAGTGAGGCTCAAACTCATGACCTCAAGACGAGTGTAATCGAGTCGAGACAGCACAGATTCCAGTGGTATATCATTAATGCTAGAAGTTGTGACGCTGAGGTATCAAATGAATGAGCGAGTGACAGAACAAGCGTAACGCGGTCCATTGGACCAGCTGGAAAAGTCTTTCAAATGTGCAATCCAACGTTTGAACCGGACGGGTCCAAGAGTAAATCACCTAGTTATCGTTCTCAGCTACTGGTTCATGCAGAAAGCCTTAGCCCATTGTCACCGTACCGTCGTGTTGCGAACTGTCACCAGAGAGGAGCAAGGCTCCTGGTCTGAGCTATATGCAGGTTTGAGACCAACGATAGGCGGGGATCTCCCACTCCTCCAACAAGAGTGGAGCAAAGAAATAACATTAATGATGTTCGTATACCTCTAACAAAAACTAAGAGAAAACAAGAGAATATGGCCAAGCAGATGTACCGAAATATAAAAGTTTAGTTTGTACGTGTGGTTTCGCTATAACCCCAGCATGAAGCGAAGATGCAGCAGTGACATTTGGACAGCAAAGACAAGCACATGCGTCTTACGCAGCACATTGCATAGGTTGGACAGGAAGGCGACAAAATATGCAAGGCACGTGTCACTCCCGCACCGTGGACATGATTAATGGACAAGTTCGGTTAAGTGATTCGGGTACTTCAAGGCCAACGCTCGCAAGGTGCACCGAAGTAGCGCATTTCCCATTGCAAGTGTTAGGGATGGCCGACCGAATGAATGGATGCAGCTGCCACCGGCTTTATTTGTCGTTGCGAGTCCGGAACGGTACAAGGTACCCGTGTCCACAGAGACCGCAGCGTTCCACGGACACACAAAATGCAACTAGCGGAAACTCGAAGATAAGATGATGGAGCGGTCACACTAGTGAGCAAAAGTAATACAATCTTCCACTCGATTTTGATTCAATACACTCAATTCGAGAGTTTCCTCCCATTTTATGTCTGTTCTTATTTTCGAGCATTGTCTGGCTGTTAAGAATCCCAACTACTAATGATACTTTTGTGGATGAACGTTCATCAGGTGACGGGGCGCAGTCAAACAACTCGTCTCTAGTACCGGGTGGTGCATAACTGCTGCTAAGCGAAACAACTGAGTCATTCAAGTATTCGGCTACCTTGATAGTTCGCTAGGCACCAAGTTGGCACAAAAAGAGCAGCCTGAATTGTTTGAATACCTCACAGGTGTTGCATGCGGAACAGGGGCGCCCCGTCAGTTTGCCTAAGTCTAGACAGAAAGAGTGATTCCGGTTGCAACAGACCATGACGGCATGCAGACGGGTTACACAAGAATGACAGGTCACATGAAAAGCATCTGGCTAAGAAAGATGCTAACTCCCCAGGAGAGAGAAACATCAAGAGAAAAACTTGTAGCGAAATCGGTAATTGAGGCCGAAAAATTCCCGCGGTTTTACTGCATACAAAAAGATGGTAGCATGGCAAACGGTTGCAGCGTGGGATAACCAGAAAGTGCTCCCTAAATCGGTAAGGGTAACACACATCGACCAAGGTCGCAATTGGTGCTAGCAGAACACAGGAAGCGGGATTGACGCACAATAAAAGCTCCGCACGTTGGACGAACATCAGTAGTCGAAGCGTTAATTACATAATCTGCAAAACCCATTCGCATTTGCCTTTTATCTCAGTAGACCAATGGGGCCACAGCTCAAACACAAGAGCCGACGCTGGGCAAGTGAACTCGCGAGCAACTTGAGCGATATTTTGTGTGTGCCCTCCAACGAATTGATGGACCAGTTAAGGACGACGAAAATCCTCAACATATAATGCATGAAGGCATTCGGATGGGTATAATCTAAACCATGCATTCTCAACCTTTAATCAGCCGTGGCACAATTTTGAACCTTTGCATTTCTCATGGTATCCCACTATGGAACACCACAATTTCAGCAATCCGCAACGCCTAACAGACGTAAATCTGTGAATGCTAGTGGTCGTAATGGTATCTTTTGCAATGATGGCTAAATTAGTAAAGTTAGTATCACTGCTCTTTTGCTAATATAACTTCTTTTCGAATTTCACAGCCTCAAAATAACCCGTTGTGCGGCAACGTCAAGCCACATATAGGTAATAACACGAAAGTCATGATTAATGGTTAATATTGCCTATAATTATTCCCATGTTGATTGTTTCTCCGAGCTTGATAAAGGAATTGCATACGTTTCACCACCAATTTAACTGTAAAATATGTGATGAATTAAGCTGCATAGCATCCTTTCTACCGAAATATTAATGCGAACCTTAAGCCTAATATCCTTGAACAAGCTTGCTTATGCCAGGCTCCAGACTTGACAATGGAAGTGGCAACATCTCCTCTTGCTGTGATGTCCATGCTGTTTCTCTTGTTGTTAAAGAAATCACTGCTGAATCCATATGCAAACATGTATGTGGATGGAAAAGCAAGGAAATATATGTCAGCTATTTTCCAAGCCGGATTTCTGTTATGAGCATCAGACTTTATCCGAAAATCCCTTCTATAATGCGTGAATTTGGATCTCGCTGGTATGTCACTTTGAAGCACCATGAGACTTTCCAGGATTTTTAACTCCGACATTGCAAGGCTGCACATCAAATGGATCCTAAAATCCAAATCAGGATGTTTTTGTCAATCAGGTCATGAAACTTGGTTTTCGCTCCATTTAGGAGTTGTTGTAAATGACTGGCATAAACAATTAAGTCTTCATTCTTCAGCTCCTCTGTGACTGTAGGGAGAATTGGGAAAACTGTGAAAATTCCCTACGTTTTGAGCGATAATGGCTTCTTTGCTCGAGATGAGATTACTCAGCTAGTTTTGAAGGATTTTCTTTAATAAGTTGAGTTTTTCACAAATATCAGCCAGATAAAACATGTCTAACCTAAACGTTAACAGTTCTCTTCCATAATCAGTTCCAGAAAGGAATGCGATGATGGTGATCTCGGAGTGCAATCTAACCGTGAAAGTAGTTGGCCTTGGAGAGCTATCGAACTTCTGTGTGTAACAGTAGAGCATAGAAATCTTCACGGTTCTCCTCACACAAATGCTTGAAAACACGATCTTGAAAAGGGTTCGTTTCGGTATTGTTGACTACTATTAAAACAGTTGAAAGTGAATCATTTAAGCGGCCTCTAAAGTTCCTAGCTACTAGGTGATCTCGACGAATCACATAGTGAATTGTAAGAACAGAATGGAGAACCTTTTTTGGATGAGCAATAGGTCCTTTATATCTTCCGACCATTGAGGCAGCACCATCTGTTGCATACGTAACTATGTTCTGCGTTGAAATGGAGTCTACAGTCAGATAGCTATTGACCATGTCAAATACAGACTGCGCTTTCGCATGAGTTTTAATTCTCCAGGCAAACTGTCCCTTCCACTAATTCACTGTCATTGAACAATCGGACATATGCCGCGGGAAGAGCGTTGTCGTTAACTAAAGTAGATTCATCTATTAGTCAAGAAAATTTGCTTGACTGTAGAAAGGTAACTAAGGTACGTTCTATCTCTTGAGCCATCTTAGCTGTTCAACTCGATGTAGTTGAGTTGCTCAGCGGTATCGCTTGAAATGCTTCTTGTGGATTTATATTCACCAGGTCAGACGGTGTTATTTTGTCAAACATTATGTGGACTTCAGTTTATGGCAATTAATTTGCTACTTTTATAAGACGCCGTAAGTCCATTCGCCATTTTTTGTCCTGTCGAAAACTCTTGTCTTCAAAGTTGGTCTATTTTCGATAATATACAGAAGCTTTCCGAAAAATTCCACAAAATATCTCCCTTCGTCCTTATGAACACTTTTTGACTGACTTTTCATTCTACTGGGTCTCAAACTTTATTTGAAAGAAGGTATTGGCAAATCAACACATAGGTAGAGTGTGGTTTTGAGATCATGCGACAAATTGAAAACGCTAGTATTTCACGGAGTATTGCCGACACTACTATTTTGACGAGGAGCACATTTCTGAAATATGCCGTTGTAAATTGTTAGTGTGTGATCTATGTATATACTGTACTCAGTCCTAGTTCTCTTACTCAGTTACATCATGAGTAGTAAATAAGGTCATTTTACAAGGCGAAGCACGTTGATAGTGTGAATGGTAGCATTAAATTTATTCTTGCTTAAGATTTTATAAGACAT